CACGCGGCGGGAAAGGAAGTCACGTCTGCGCGCCGAAGGCTGGTCAGGCTGGCTTCCGGTCAAATCCGCCGAAATCGGCGGAGCGACTTTTCTCGGATCCGGATCGAGATCTGGAGTGGAAGCTGATCCGAAACAACAGGTGGAACATGTCCGTCCCGATCCCGATCGCCCCGTTAGATAGGCGCGCTCCAGAAAAGTCGATCCCGGTGCGCTTTAAAACGACCAGTTGAATTCGCCGTTAGCGTGTCTACTTGTAATGTTGTTCCCATTCTTACCATTGTGTGATGGTGGTTTCGTACACATTTGAGTTTGAAATTACATAGAGAGGTGGACTAAATAAACGAGTTAACTGAGTTTGAGTCGTCGTTATCTTTTTTTTTTTCTATGTTTTGATGTTTCTCTTTTACCCTAGTCCCCGATTAATTCAACATGATTAATATTCACCACCTCACCTGCACCCTTATTATATCTTTTCTGGCTGAACTATTTTGTTTTTATTGAGGCTTGGCCCCGGAATTAAACTTTTGTAAACACGAAAACCCGCCCCTATCGCATTTCCTGCGCACTTTGTGGGCTGCTGTGCATATACTTTCTGTGAATTTTTTCCTTGAAATTTATATGCGCACTTCGGTTCGTATTTTTACATTTGTTTGAGTTTACAAAAGGAATATATTGGTGAACCGCTCTTGACTTGCTGAGAAGCCTCTATTTATTTATTTTGGTCTGCAGAGAATATTCTCTTTACTGTCAGTTTCTGCCAAAATGTCGGAAGTACGTACCCTCGCTTTCATATACCCGCCAAGCGTCAATTCCTGAATGTCATAATTTTTTTCCTTCGTTTGCTAGTTATCTACTTGGTGCTTGAAGTAAAATTCTTGTAACTTAGACTTCAAAATGTTCACTTTTTTTCTTGATGGCTTATAAGTACGATTCCGTGTTTTCGGAGTTCATTTCTCGTGACGTTTGGAGTGTTTTTCGAAATTCACCTTTCGCTGAAATTTTAGGGTTTACGTAGATAATTTTTGTTAGATTGCTATCTTTTTTTTTAATATTCGGAGCTTATCCTATTGTGTTCTAAAGTTTTTAAAAAATTCAAACGAAATAAATGAAGTTTGGCTACAATGACCGGTTCTCCTGAAAAACATTGACAATCTAAAAGGCAAACACGTTTTGTAAGTAGTTCGAGAATTGAAAGAAGCTGCATTTCTTAATACCCCTCACCTTAATTATGCTTTCATGAAGCTTATTCGTAGAACGCCCTCTTTTTTGCTTTTTATTTTGGAGTTGTGACCTCGAAATTTGAAGTTTTTCGAATAAATCTGTATTGACGGAAAATTTATCGGCACGTGTTTCTGATTTTATTTGTTCACCCGGTAACATTGCAGCATACTTATCAGATAGGTCACGCACTTTGACGTGATTGCTATCAACAAGGAACGTGATTTTGTTGCAATTAAAAGCGTGTCTTTTTTAAGGGTATTTGACAAGACTGCTTAAATACTTGGCTTAAAAAGGTAGTGTAAAATTTTCTTGAGAAGCGAGAGCTATTTCTAAATGTGCCACACGACTTCGATATATGCATGTATGTTACCGCATAACGTTTTAACCACTCGCGGGCTAAAACCACTTTTAATATTTTTCTCGGTGATCACGAGTAAAATTGATGACCTATTGATACTCGCATGGCGGTTTCAATTCTCGGGCTAGATGCTTGTAGTTTACTGGAGGCATTTATTAAGGTAAATTTAGATTGTTTAAGGTAAAGGCATCGTGTAACTGAGATTTTTCTCGTAGGTCAAAAGATCCGAAGATATGGTCCTACCTGATTTTCAGCTCTTCTCGGAAGCCTATCAGCTTCGACCCATATTTAGTGTTTTCTTAGATTTGTATCAATACACCAAATAATTGAGTAGCTATAAACAATATATGAAAGGTTTTGATGTTTCGTCCTGACAGCTTGAAAGCTTTTTTCTTTGTTTTTCCTTTTTTTTTCTTTTCATAACATGTAGTTTGCTGTTTACATCTAGTCCACAGCAAGCTTTAAAACTTTGGCACCTGGCGGCTAGTGGAACGTTTAGGTGAACGTTGAACGTTGCGTGATGTGTAGTTTATTTCTGAAGTGAAAAAAGCACTCTTTTTTTTTTTTCAGGGACAGCTTGGGCATAAATAACAGCGCTAACCACGCACGAGTACAGCCAGCTGTGCGTCGCGTTGTTGATTTCCTTTTTCATAACTTACATCTTCCAGTAGAACCTCAGGCCTTGCTGAATATTTACTTTCTTGTGGTAGTTAAGTCATTATATAAATATATTGTTTAATAAAATATGTATAGCTTGTGAATCGGAAAAGAAACTCGCTATATTGGCATTGGTTCAACTAAGCTCGCATTTTCAGATTTTAATTATTTTATAAAGAATATTTGCACAAGAAACTCGCAGAAACTATTGCTCATTGTTTCGGAGAAAGCAAGCGCCAAAACGTATTATAAAAATAAAGGATATAAACTAAACAAAAAAAAGTGTAGGGTAAATTAGAGTTTAAACAATAGTATGTTACAATATAATACTCTGAAAATATCCCATGAAACGTTATTGTAAAATGAACAGAAAGGTATACACAGCTACAATTAACGTAAATAAATCTTTACAAAGCACAAAGAACCAGGGTATTGCAATTTTATCAAGCGCCCGTCGATGATTATTAGCATGCGGTCAAAATATACCGCCACTTATTTTTCAGCCCACAGTGGGAACTGAACAAACAGCCTCGATGCAATCTGCATAATTGTATTGACTAAAATGTTCAAGAACAAATATATTTTGGTATATTGTAACAACAGAAACTGCCTGCACATTTTGAGGCAGGTTTCAAAGAACCTGCTCTAGTGTTAATCTTGCGAAAACCTCCTATCAAAGACGAGCCCACTTATATGCGGAAGCACGTAAAAAAAGCTAGCAAATTGGTGTGAAAAACAAACAAACATCCATCAGTTGTGTGTACGTTTTTCTCTACACATGTAGACTGTCAAGGTTTAGTTAGTATCGCCGCTTTCATTTGCCCGTCCACTGGCCACACGTTATATTGCAACACTTCTCCTCCACCGTTTCGTGGCCGTTGTTGACATCTGCCCGTTCCTAGGAACTGACAACCTGAAAACTAAGTAACGGCTGACCGGCGTCATCTGCTGACACTGACACGCGGTGATATATGCGGTTTATTGTGTGTCTGCCAAGAAGTTGTCCGGACTCTCAACAGACGCGACGGGATGTCAACGCGTCTGTCGTCCAAGGAAACGCTGAGAATAGAGCAAAACCGCCAGCCAGCGTTGTCTGACAGATGCGCCGAGAGGTTAAATGGTTTTGTGACTCTAGACCCAATTCGAAAGAGCTGAAAACCTTACGCGCCCAGTTGGAATTCAGTTTCAATTCGGGGATCATATATACGTGTGGTTGAAGTTCCTCTTAACTTAGTGTAAACATGAGTTCACTGAACATCGCCTTTGTAAAATAAACTATCGGTTTACGGCGGCATACTGCAATAAATAAATAAATAAAACAGGAGGACAAATAACAGCTATACGGTGGAGCTGTTGGTTGATCCAGAACGTTTTTAGAACATATATGAAAAAAAAATTGTATAAACTTTTCAGTACGACGATATGAACCTGTCTAGTCAACTGGACTAGAAAACGTTTATGCGATCCTAGAAAATGTGTCTTGTTAATGTTTCTAATAAACTTGACCATAGAATGTGTACTTGCATGCTTATCATTTTTTTTATTTGTGACATTACCTCGCTACAATTTAAATGTGTTCCTTTTTGGAAGTTCTTTTCTTTCCATAACAGTCGTTGAAGAGAACTGTTTATGCGGACGTCTTTTTCTGGTAATAGTCGCCTTTATATTCTTTCTATATGACCGACAGCCATGCACATAGTCTACGTTATTTTGTATCCTTACCTTTACTTGTATGGTTTGTCTTGTCTCTTTTCTTTCTTTTTTTGCAAATACAGTCGGTAATGTAAGAAATGCCACAGCATTATAAAGTGCACTAATGAAACGTAAATTATTTGTTTTTAGTGGGAACGAAAGAACACCGGCAGATATACGATGGAACCATGAGCCTATGAATCTGGATGGTCGGCGGGGTTAGGGCTGTGCACTTAGAAAGAAGAAATGCCTTTTCAAAGGTATATAGTTTTTTTTTAAATGTAAGTATGCAACAGAGAAGCGGCCATCATGTGCCATATAATCAGATGGTGAAATGTGACATTTCAAAAATAGATATAAAAAGTTATGTTCAAAATGTGAGAACTATATTTTTCTTTAGGCTGGTTGCCTCAATGCGTATGGCCTACATATAGATCTTAAAAAAAAAAAATTGTTGGAGTTTGACTTTCTGGGATTCTTGATCTCACGAATCACACTGTCCTTGTATTAAGGTCAATTTGAACACGAGTCTCCCATACCCTTCTCTAATTTGCTGGCGCGCGAATCCGAAACGTTGTCTCGCAGACACGCAAACCGTTTTCATTTGAGAAGGGCAGAATTTTTAGACTCCCATTGTTTGCCGAGTCATGAGACGACCTTATCTAAAACACGTTTTAGAAGAATGTGCATTTTGTTTGCATGCGTAATCTAATGTCGGATATGCGTTGATTCCTGCTTGTTACTTTTTGATTCGGCTACGAAGCAAGTTAGTTATTTTTAAACACCGCATCACATGGTACGATTTTTCGAAGTTATCAACTATGCTTGCGTCCTAGATTATCACCCTCATATATATTTCCCAACCAAAATTCTGGCGCACTCTCTGCGGTGTAGTTCCCGAATTATGGATGAATATCGAGCAATGTGCGACACCCTCGGGTCTCTTTGGAGAGTGCTGTGCTTCCGTTTTGTTTCGTTGCTCTGCCGAAGGCGCTTCCTCGCTCCCTCAAAGACCAGTATACAAAGGCGTAAGGATCTGACGGGCATGCTTCCCTCTGCTGCTTGTGTCCAGGTAGATCTTCGGCAGCTGGCTCTCGGTTGCTGCCCGACGCTCGCAGCGAAGGCCGGGCGAGCTCTGAACAAGCGCAGCTCGTACGGGGGCGGCTCCCTACGCAGCAGCACCGTTATCGTGTCGAGCGCCGGAGGGGGCGCCTCCAGCCTCCACCAGAACCACCAGCGCTGCAACGGCTTCTCGTCCGTCAAGTCGCCCACTTCCGTGGTGGCGCTCAAGACCCTCGGCAGCTGCGTCGTGGACCAGACGCCCGTTCGCTTCTCTGTGTACGAGTGAGAACCCGTTCACACGAGCGGCGAGGCCAGCGTTTGGCGGCGCACCTGGCGAAGAGAACATCGCCATTCTCGTGATACCGTACGCCGGCCAACGTATCAGTCGCGGAATATATGAAAACGTCCAGGGCGAGCGCGTGGATCCTAACACCTCCAGTGTCATCTAAGGGAAAAAAGTCGAGCTATTATCGAGGCTATTGTGTGAACGAGCGGCACTTCGGCAGCTGCTAGATTTTCGTTGTTACTTTCCGCTTGGTTGAAAACGCTTGCTGGATCAATACTACCGACAGTAGTGAGTGCTCGGTAAAATAAAATAAAAGAAACCTATCACTCTTTACTCCCCGAAACTAATAACAAGTTTTTCAATAGCGTACGCAAAAAAAAAAAAAAAAAAAAAAGCTGTCTCCATCGCTCATTTGTGATATGGGAATAAATAAATTTATTTGAATTGAAATAACGTCGTTACCACTACGCATACGCGGAGCCCGAACTGCTCTTAAATTGGTGTATGGTGACGACGCGCGTGTGCAGTTTCAAGCCCGCAACGCTAATACAAACGCACAGCGCTTGCGTTTGGTCCTATACGCAATGCTGAAACTATATATTATCAAATTTTCGAAAAAGGATCACTCAACCTGCCGACCCGGTAGATTCAGCCACGCTGTATTTCGCCTTTTTTCGCGGGAGGCCATTATATTCGGCGAAATCAACATGATCTAAACAACAGCTAGTTTAGCGGGGAGTGGCGACAAAACTTGAACAGACGCGAAAGCCTCAGTAATGGTCTACCTGTCTCCTGTTAGACGGCGCGGCGGGCCTTGTGAGTCACGCGTTGGCCTGGGCTTTTTCATATCGTCCGCGACTGTGCGGCACCAACACCTCCTAGACATCTTTCAAAGCTTGCGCGTCACGTGACATGACGTCACGTCCTGGAGGCCTGCACGGGCGCTGATTGGATGCGAGTGCTGCGTCAGCGTTCGCGTGGGACTCGTTTTTTATCATAGTCCCACGTGAAGGCTGACGCGGCACTCGAATCCAATCAGCGCCCGTGCAGACCTCCGGGATGCGACGTCATGTCACGTGACGCGCAGGCTTGAAAGCTGTCTAGGAGGTGTTGGCGGTACCACGGTGACCATGAAGCAAGCGTCCCTTGCTTTTTGGCTGCATGACCTAACGGTTTACAACAGCCACTCAGCGAGGTCCGTTTACGTCACTTTCGCCCAGATATTAACGTCACGACAGGCGCCAACTGTGTCTATGACACGTGATGCGTCAGGACTCGCGGCAGTTCATGTGCGACGGCAACGAAGGATGTCACCTGGAAGGTGTATATGTGTAAATCTGGCAGCGTTCCTGTAATCACGGGGCGCCTGCACTGCCTTTTTAGTGGACGCAGAGAACCCTGCACATACACTAAGTCCGTAGAGCTACTTTCCCAAGGAGCTGTCGGACATCCAGTCACTGCGACATAGAGAAGAATTACTACGAATGACAATGACGGACGATGCCACACTGAGCGTAACAATTTTGCATGCTTAAGACATGCTCAATTTTATGTTGTAGACTTTACTCAGAGGCCAAAATGCTTCTTTCTAGTCTCGTCATTTGCCTGGCTTTCCTTCCATAGACTGCGGTGATTGTCTGTCTTAGTGCTCTACGGGAAAGTAGACGTCCGGGCATATTTTTGTTTAGTGTGTTCAGGGTTCTGCCTAATTGTGTGGGGCTTAAAATGCTTTCTGGGAGAAGTGTCGTTGTATTCACCAATAATATTTGCATTCATCATTGATGTAGCTGGGAAAGGGCATGAGCAGATAAGCAAAATAGGTTCCGGTATATACCAAGAGAGGTTCAAAGAAGTTCTGCTTGAAACAGGTGCTGCTATCAAAACAATTGTGCCGCAGTCATTTTTTACTCAAACTTTCAAGGACTGGCCAAATAGAAAAAAACAGTAAAAATGTATCCCCAATTTTGGAAGTTACAAAAAACATGTGCATCGGGTGTTTTTCCTTGCTTATACTGTAGACGTTCCTTCAAAATCGGCTCGCTTGTTGGCAGCCGGAATCTTTTGTGTACCAGGAGTTCAATAGCCATCTGAAGACGTTGACTGTACAAGCCAGGAAGTACACGTTATTATCGCTTAAAGCTGTGCGTTTTAAGTGCTTGGTCCGACAGACCGTTACAATGCACTGGTCTGTGATCACTGTGCGGCATACCAAAAAGAACGAGTGTGTAAGTTGATTACCATCGTCATGTCTTGCTGTTTTTTTGGTGAGGAAGTTGCAAGCATCGGATATTCGTGACAAGTAAAGCATCCACTGTAACGTCTAGCGTGTTATTGACAGTTCGAAATCGCTGGGGCAAGGTTAACTTCGAGTCGATCTACGAAAACTTTTTATACATCTGCTTTCCCGTAGAAGACTCGAGAGGTCACTCACTGTAATTGAGGACGGAATCACCGCTGATTAGGATGTCGTAAAAGCGGCTTTAAAAGTGTACCAAGTCTGTGTTGTGACAGTGTGAGTGACGCCTTTATACGTGTGTCCCTGCTCAATCTTAATTTTCCTATCTTCAACCGACTTATTTTTTCCACGTCATTCGATTTTGTTCTGTCAATCGCTGATATAAGTTTTTAATGTTCTATTAAAAAAACGGGCAGTAGTTTTTATAGTGCTTTTATTTTACTCCCGTAACCCATTCAATAATAACATTCAATAATGTCACAGGGCACGACAAAATGTGCGGGATGAGGACGCCTTAACAATCGTTTATCATTATACCATTGCCTCAGTACCCTACAGCTTCAGAAGGATGGTATCCATCATCTGATTGTCACTGGGCAGCCAATCAGATATGAGAACCACTCGATGAGAACACATAAGGATAGAACTCCACCCTCATCAGCGTCATTCTAATTATCCTCGCCCTGTCACTTTCGATGTACCAGGGGGGAATCTATCAAAATGCATAAACTACAGAGAGGCTCAGGCGTCACGCCGAACGCCCAATTGTCAAGCCGCGTTATGCATAATCAAAGTTTTGTTTTTGTGAAAGTTTCTTTTTGTTTTGTCTGTGGGCTGAATAATGCCCTCACTTTCTTTGCTGTCAGAAAAGTTGTGTGTTTGTGCCGAATCGCACAGTGACCCCATTTTTCTCCTCGGGTATAAAAGAGAGTCACTTCTCCAGCTCTTACCTTCCATCAGACTAGGTACTCCGAACTTTATATATTTAAAACACACTTGCTGAAAAATTTATCCCGCAAAGAAAATGACGGTCGCAGTGGAAATAAAATCTCCGAAGTAGATTTACAACGAAACCCAGATTAATACTAAAAATAACGCCGCAGAACTGTAATTGTGCATATTACTGCAGAAGTGTGGTAAGTTGGGCTAGTTGGTATGACATGGTGAACAGTACAGTTTTTGTACTGCTCACAGAGTGAAGGGACATGTGATCTGTTCGTGAAAGGAGAGTAAAAAAGATAGCGAAAAGACAGTGAAAAGAAAAAAAAAGTGAAAAGACAAGTTCACTTTCTCTGTCCTTGTGTTTTGTGCGCTGTACTGTTCACCACGTGAATATTGCCTCACCAGCCATTCCGATAGTGCCACATTGGGCAAGAAAATCCTCGACGCTGCACTCAGGAACGAAGATGCTTTACTAACCCTTCTCGTGTCCGGCAATGCTAACATATATATGTTTCGGGAAAATAACACCCCCTACTAATATTTGTTAACATTCGCACCTAAGTGATTTACACACACCACCCCCGTTGTAAATGGGTTATTGACAAATGCTCCAGAGCTGGCTTTCCGTATGCCGATGCTACCCTATCCAACCAATTGTGCCAGGTTGGAAGGAAGCAGAGGTCAAACGCAAGTCGAGTTAGGGAACGTTTTTTCCTCAAGTAAGCTTGGCGTCAGTATATTAATTAATTTTTGTTTAACAAAATATATATTCAATGGAATTTTTGTCTCCATCACATCAGCGGTCACTCGCCTGAACGTTTCGTCCTGTACATACGCGTTTAATCATCCCACCATGCTCTGCTCTTGCAGAGGAATTTTGTCACGTGTGTATTTGCTGCTGACAAAATCGAATAAAGAAACAGGGTGAAAACAACATGCCTGACGTAAAAAGCAAGGAATGTCTTACTGATGTTCGAAAATGTAGGTATTGAATGACTATGCTAATGTTCTGAAATCGGTATCATGTCCAAATACAAGGTGGGCAGAGGGATAGATGTAAAGATATGTACGATGAGTGGGCTGTGTATCATCTGCTCTTGAGGATCAGGGGGCTACGTCGAGAAGTGACAAGAACATCTTTCGGTGTTATTGATGTGGATCCACGAGGGAGTCGTCTACGTCCTCGTAGATTGGCAGGTCACAGTTATGGGAAAGCTGCGCGTGCGCCCAAGAGACCGTCGAACTTGCAGTGCTTGCGAAGTACAGAGTAGAAGTTTTGGCATCGGTAACGGGGCTCAGTGTCGGTGGACAAGCAACAAGCGCAGCCGCCTTTTATGGGGTAATGAAAGAAGTGAACCAGGAACAGCTGCGTGATAGACCAACACTACCTAGAAGACAAAGCTTGCGCCTCCTACCCCCCCCCCCCTCCTCCCACTTTTCCCTGACTTGTGTCAGCGTCACCGCCAGCGCTTATCCCAGCGTCTCACAGCGAGCGCGAAGCAAGTGCACGCGGCGACGCCGAGATGGAAGCGTTTGTTACTTGCAACATCTCTCTTACCGCTCATTCACACTGGAAGCGGATCCGCGTTCACAAAGCGGTTGCGAACGCGGTTGTATAAAGATCCTGTACAATCGCACGCCCACTCGATGACATCAAGTCCGCGTGCAATTGTACTGGATCTTTATACAACCGCGTTCGCAACCGCTTTGCGAACGCGGATCCGCTTCCATAATGAGCGGTTAGAGCTTCAGCGTGTTAGCCGTTTGGGGCGGATTGCGGACGTAGTGACAATTACATCATTCGCATGCCTCGTCATCTATAAGTAGTAAATGGATGGACGCTTCCGTCCCAATCCTGCAGACTC